AGTACATTTAAGGCTTTACATTAAGGATAATGGCATACAGATTTTACAAATAAAAACTCACCGGCAGGGGGAGAGTACTCGTAGGAGGGACAAATTTACCCTTCTCAAATTTGATTCTTTCAAACAGATTAGCACCAACTTCCTTGCTCTATACGGGAAGAGAGAATGAAAGGAAAAGGACTTGTGAGCATTAAACTGTAGTGCTAAGGATGATTCCAGAAAAAGTTCCACAATAAGGTGGATCATTGTGCTTTTTCATGGTAAAGTATGTAATTCTTTCCGAAACAAAGGGCCCGAATATACCTGGATGTAATCCATCCATCTTAGCAAGTGTGGCAATTTTATTTTATCCTCTTTTGAAAGGCCAATCTGAAAAGCAGCAAGACATGTTATATATACGACTAGTATTCAGGACACCGAGTTTCTAGTTAAGAGTTTTAGTAAATTAAATTCTGGCATTGCAATAAGAAGAGAATAAGTACATAACAATAAACCACATCATACATAGTTACATAGTCAGATCAAAGGATACTTTTGAGTAAAAATGGCCTAGTCAGCCACTAGGCACCCCTAGATGGCTAGAATGACTCACTCCTAGACAGGCTAGGGACTCGAGTGCTCAACTAGGCCCGCCTAGGTGGGATATGCGCCTGATTAGACGCTCTAGGCCAGCTAGGTGCCACTAGAGCGTCCAATGGGCACCTAGCAGGCTAGCACGTTCTGCAACAATAGTTAAATTGAAGTGCATTAATAGAAGTTAAATTGAGAACTACTACAGTACTACTGCAGTAATAAAATCAGATAAAAGACGGATCCTGATATATGTTTTAATTTAGAAACCAGTTAACAGTTGGCAGGGGCCAGGGAGGACTCCAAAGTCTAAAGTAGACAGAAGAATGTCTGAACTCACATAACATGTAACAAGCAATTACATAATGAAACGCACCATATTGAAAATGAAACTCTAGAGCAGTCTTATACTCTTATGAAGTCTTTGATTTTTCAAGAGCAACAATCACATAATTAAGTGCGATCATAACTCCTATAGGAGAGTGGAGAGTGCATACCACGGTTGAGTGAACAATGGAAAACACAATGATATCTGCAGCTGTATGCTCAAACCCGTGGCCTAAAAGAACAGATACTTTAACTAATTCTTCATTTAATTCGCTTAGAGCTTTAAAGCACAGCTCTGGATCCTCTGGGAATTTGTCAGCAAAGTCTACCCATTTGATGAACTGCCGGAAGATAGCAAAATTCAACATTGAAAAAAGTACGAACAGTACTCTACTGGCTACTGCTTTATTATTAAACTTATGCAACCTACTTAACCTCGACGAAATGTCAAAAACGACGAGTACCTCATTATCCTTGAGCAAGGCAGCAGCGCTTGGGGAAGAACTGGTAATTTCTAAGCAGAGGCTCTTTATATCTTTCTCTAAACTGCCCAAAAATTGTTCCTACAGACATCCACAGAAATAAATAAAAAGTTTTACGGATTGGATGTTGAACTTGTAAGAGAAAATCGAGTAACTCGGGAATTACTGGATTCAATGATAGTTCATTGCAGAGAGCAGTAGCAATTGTATGCTTCCGATTTGACGCCATTGTAATGCTCGGCGCACTTCTCGTCTGCTGACGCTTTTCACTCTGGCAATTTCACTACCTTCTAACAAATTGTGATTAGAAGTTAGAACCAGACGAGGAAATGAGAAATCTTAGTAGGTTTTTGTTACTTTGGGCCAGCCAATTCAGGGAATTGCAGCACGGGCTCTTAAGGACTATTTTGTACTTTGTCATGTGTTTAATAAGAGCTACTATGAAATTTTGAATGCTTCATAATAAGAGTTTTTTCCTAAATTAATGTTAATTAAATAAATATTTACCAAAATAAGGTTGGGTTAATAATAATTCCCAATCTACTGCTACCCTAGTTAAAAAAGTCGTACGCTATCTCAACATTAAGAATACGGAGTTAGCCACAAACGTACGTAGCAATAAGATGGGGCCCTCATAATTATAAAATCCATTTTTTCTTTAAACAGATATAACTTTTTTATTTTTGCTCTATATTGGATAGAAAATATATCATAATTCATAATTTTTTATGAGCTTTCATTTGACACTAATATTGCATATATAATTTAAAAAAAAATTGAAGAATATATAGATCCCATTTGGGGACTCCTTTTTTTCGACTTATTAGTCTTATCAACAAACTTTTCATCAAACACAGAACTTTTCATTTTGCGTGCTTATTGTATAATATTCAAAATAAGTGAGGTTGGAATTACTTTTCTGACTGCATTGGGTGAAGTTACATTTTAGCTATCTCTATCCATTTTATTAATAGAAATTATTATAAGTATAATTTTTTAAGAAATAATTACATAAGTATGTCCAAAATAAAGATGTTTTACAAAAATATGACTACTTACTACAATAGTAATGAAATCATCATAATTCATGTTTAGGTTTTGAACTTAAGTTACCACAACACTACGTTGTACGGAGTAGTAATGAATAGTCATATTTATGTAAATAAGTTTTATTTTAGTAATATTCTTGTAAGAAAACCATTTTTTAATAAATAAGCCAATTCAACTAATATAGTCATTTCAACTTGAACTTCATAAATTTTAACAGAATCAGTCAATTCAGTCACTTTGATATTTACCAAACGACCTCAGGGTGTCTTATTTAATCTCAAATCGAAGGATAAAAACTCGTAGAAAAAAATCTAAATTCGGTCCGGTAATTATTAACCCAACCTTATTTTCTTAATTATTTATTCAATTAGCATTAGTTTGGAAAAAAACTCAAAATATTTTCTATTAACAAAATGAATAAAAATAGCTAAAATATATATTTACAATAACTTCAACCAATGCAGCCAGAAAAATAATTTCAACCTCACTTATTTTGATTATTACACAATAAGCACGCAAAATCAAAAGTTTCGAGCCCGTTTGGTAGCACGAAAATCGGCTGATTTGGCTGATTCTGTTGAAATTTATGAAGTTCTGGCTGAAGTGTCTGCATTGGCTGATTCTGCTCATTTAAGAAAAAAATTATTTTAAAAATATATCTTATTAATAAAATAATGAAAAAATTATATTTAAAAATAATTAAAATAGTCATCTACAGTAACTTTAGCCAATACAGCCATAAAAGTAACTTCAACCTTACGTTTTCTGCTTATTACACAATTCAGCGCGCGAAAGCAAAAATGATGTGTTTGGTGAAAAAGTTGGCTGATAAGCCTGATAAGCCGAAAAACAATGGCTCCAAGCAGCCTCTTCGTGTTTGGTGAAAAAGTTGGTTGATGAGACTGATAAGAAGGAAAAAAGAGTTCCCAGACGGGCTCCAGGTGCTCTTCAATTTTTTTTTTTAAATTACATATGCAATATTGGTGTCAAATGAAAGGCCATAAAAAATTATGAATTGTGATCTATTTTTTTATACAAAATAGATTAAAAAAAAACGTTATAGCTATTTAAAGAAAAATTGGATTTTATAATTCTAAGGGACCTATCTTTGATTGATACGTAGGTTTGTGACTTACATCAGCATACGCGTATGGGGTTTGGTTAACCAGGGTAGCAGTAGATTGGGAATAATTATTAATCCAACCTTATTTAGGTAAATATTTATTTAATTAGTATTAATCTCGGAAAAAACTCTCATAATAAGAACTCTGGTGAACCTAATATTCATTAAAACAAAAATGTTCAAAATGTTACTCAACATAATACAATCACAATTCACAAATATATTAAGACATGGCCCTCTGTCACAATAATAGAACCTTTCACCATTCTAATTTTTAAATACATCCATAAAAAGAGTTTTAATTTCACAAGTTATTACTAGTATACAAAATTTACTATCTATCCATAAATCATTAAATTGTATCGCACATGCACAAGTTTAAAATTTGTTAAAACCCTAAAGTTATTTGGTGTGACTATGTGATTAAAAGAATTGTTGTTGGTTTCTCCTTTGTGGCTCAAGAAAACACTATCAACAGAAAAAACATTGATGGAGTGATGAAGCTAATGTAAACTTGCTTGAGATGGATTTCTTTTTCTTATTGCCCAGCTTTATGCTCTTATTTCCTATATCACCAATTTCTCTACTATATATGATCTTCCTTAATTTTTTTTCAAAACAATAGATCATTTTATGTGACGTGATTAGATGATTTTTGACGATGATTAGACTTTATTCGTTGCTTCAATGTCTAGTAACTAGAGCTTGAATGATACATTTAGCTACTTATGTCCAATGTGTCTAGATTGGTCTGGTTTTGTCGTTAAGAATTTTATATACAAATTTGAATAATGGTTGAGCCGTTGAGGTATGTTTTTCAAAATATTTCGCCGATAGCAAATATGTAAACATAGCTAACTCTATTTTCTTTTTATGATAAAAAAAACTCTATTTTCTTTTTTATTATAGCTAGATATGTTAAATAGATTGTAGTGGTTTATAATAAGTAAATTATTCAAATATACTCTTTTTTTACTCGAGGAGGTGTATGGGGGAGGTGAGGTCTGGAGGACTTGGAATACACTGGGCTGAAACTCACTTCATTGAGTTTCGAACACGAGACCGCCCACAAGGGAGGGAGAGTGAGTCGGCGACCAGCTGAGCTAGACCGCTTCCTCATTTTTCAAATATACACAAATGAGTATTTTTCTTAAAAATGTTTATTGATGTAAATTATTGATGTAAATTCATACTCAAATTACTAATGTAGAGTTATACGAAGTACTCGAGTAGATTGATGTATATTTTGCTTATAAATATAAAATTACTACTCTAGTCACTAATCACATTAGTCATATTTTTATAAACAATCTTTATTTTAATTATAAATATATAATTATTTCTTATTCATAACCATTATTAAGCATAGCAGGCTACCCAAAACAAAACCACAGCGTGAGAAAGTTATCCTTATATAAAAATGCTCAAATTAAAACAATAAAAGCATGAGATATTATTTCAATGTACATTTATACAGGTTTCTCCAAGACTCCAATCAAATATTTAAATAAGCTTGCTAATATTCCTCAAAACACAACTAAACAAAAAAAAATACATATTTCATTAGTCATTCCTGAAGGCAACATAACATCATCCGGCGAACCAAACATTAAACAAGATTGTAAAATTCCAAATAAAAAAAGGTTAAACAAGACTTTGATTTTCCATTGATGATAGAAAATTGCAAGTTGAATAAATGGAAGCTGCAGCTGCTCTAACAGCTAAATCCCTTCCTGGATCTTTATCCAGTCTGCATTCAGAAAAAGGTATGTAGGAATTATCAGATTTAAAGTGCAGCATGAAGAAGCATAATGGAACAGAATGAGAAGTATGTATTCTTATTTGCCTGATGTCATTTTGCAGTGCAGCAAGCCGAGGTGAACCGCGTGGCACCATATTATTATTAGTATATTTGATAAGCCCGTGTTCACATTGCAACTGCATTTCTTGTACTTGTTTTTGCCAGCTTACCTATGACAATTAATTAAGAAAAGGTCTAAAAATGTTTTGAAACTTTGGTCATAACTGCAAGCAGGGAAGAAAGGGCAGTGGCATAATCTAAACACATAAAAAGACAAATAAAAACTTTGAAGTCTCATCTTTATGCAAAGAGAGTAAGGGTCCCTTTAGAACACAGAAGAAGAAAAATTGATTTAGAATTCAAGATTAGCTTGCACTGCTTATCCGGAAAATAAACAGAATAAGAAGCCTTTGAGTTATTAGGCTGAAATGGGTTCACCAAATGCTTTACCTTTCAGATAACTCAGCAAACGGGCTCATATGCTCAATGCCTCAATCAATGAATGTAGTTTTGATAGTTGTCCAAACTCTTTATATTTATTTTAATCATGTATAGATTATTAGATTAAAACATATGACTTTAAAAATTATTAAAAAAAAACATATTTCATTTTCATTCGTTATTTCCAAAGTAATGCCAAGCATAGCAAATAAAATTCATTTTTCCGATTTTTCTAGAAGATTCCATTATCCTAACATACAATAGAATGTGCAAAGGGAAAGGGAAAATCGGCATAGCTTAGACTCACCAGCTGACACTCTTCTTCACATAGAGATGCATCAAGCTGAAAAAACAATGCACTCCATCTAGCATGATGTGCGGCTGCTTTCTCACATCCTCCAGGATCTTGTAGTGGATTACTGTTATTGTTATAAGAGAATTCCTTTGTGATTAAGCAAGGAAATTCTGTATGAATTACCTCCCATACTCTCTTTCTACTGCTTCTTAATGCTGGAAAATAAAGAGAGCAGGCAGACAATTATTATTTGCATATAACTTGCTTCATTACACAGGGTAGTTATTGAAAGAGTATACTGTGGGAGTGTGGAACCATACCAGCAAGGCGGCCTTCAGTGTCCTGATTAAGCAGTTCCAACCACTGTGATGCAACTCTAGCAGCTATGATGAAAGGAATAAAAGTGAAATCTGATTAGTTGCTATAATCCAAAAGTGAAATGTTTGAATCAAACCACATATCATGGGTTTAAATAGCTTAATTGACTTATCAGATGCTTTTTCTACCAAAAACTAGCTTATTTAAGTACATACGGAGTATAAGCAAAAAAATACTGTGAAATTACTTTTTGTATTAAACAAATAACACTTCTATAATTATTTTGTTACATACGAAGTATTAATTTTAAAGTACATTTTGAATTACATTTTTAGCTAACCATCAAACTCAATCATAATGAAAAAAACATCGTACAAAAAGTTACTTGTTTCACTGAAATAATTAAGATGAAGACATGCCAAGGCACTTCAATCATCATTATTATGCTTCAAACATGATCAAAATTCATTTTTAGTCAATTAAGCATAATCAGTACAATCACTTATTTCTGCCAAAATATCACAAAATTCAACTCATTTAGCAAATCTGGCAAAATACTTCGACCAAACAGACTCTTCCGTTTAGACTTCACAGGAATAGAAATGTATATCATGTGCTAAGCATAGAATTCAAATGGAAACGACAGCCTGTGATGCCTTATATTCCTAGTTTCCCACTGAATGCCACAAAATAACAAGAGACATAAAAAGTAGAAAACCAACCATTAATGGAAAGGGCGGTAACATCAGCTACGTTCGTTGATGCATCATCATTTGACACAACGCTATTTGCACCATTGCAGTCTGATAGATATTTTGTCCTTTTCCCAATCATACATGAATTACCATTGTCACCTTCAAGCTCACACTCATTAGAAGGTGCTGAATATCCAATGATATGCATCCCTGTTGACAAAGCATTCATTGTCCCCTTTTCAATATCCTTTAATTCCTTTCTTTCTCCACCACTCTTACCTTGTTTACCTTCAAGGATTAAATTACTGTCATACTTTTCAGATTTCACAAGGGCTTCTATAATGGAATGGACCTGCTTGGTGTTTCTCACATGGTTAATGATCCCGGGGTTCAGTCCAGTCAGCAAACCGGTGGGGGCTGCAATCTTAGCAAACCTGTCTGCTTGTTCTTTCTTTGCAAGCTCTATCTTTCTCTTCATCCTCTCGTTTTTCCTCTTTTGCCCATTATTATCCCTTGGTTTTGCTGTTTGTCCTATACTATTCTGTTGTTGATGATAATAAGGGTCAACATTGACTGAACTAGAAACATCTTCTGCATTTAGACCTAAGCCACATCCTCCCATATTCACCGGACTGATGGAAGCTTCCCTCCCATGAATCTTAAGCAGTCCCTCTCTGTTGGGTTGAGAAGAACATTCAGTTTCTTTACAATTACCTTTTCGATTTAATTCTGTCCATGCAAAATGAAGGGAGTCACTTCAAAGTACTGCAGCAGTTATAAAAATACCACATACGGAGTATTATGCTATAAAAAACTAATTCTCCCCTCAAAACCTTTTCAGCACTATTAACACAATACATTAAATCCCTTTCATCAAAGTTTTCCAATTATATATCAAAGTATATGTTATGTTTCGGTCCAATTCAAGGAAATTATTCTAACTAAAACACAACCAGGGTGAACCCTCTGGCAATTAGAGCAGCGAAATCCGATTAGAAACAATACAGAAGCACAGCTTCACTAAAAAAACATGCCTGCATAATGTTCAAGACCCCTCACTTTCACTGTTTTGTGATAAAGTTCCGATCTTTCTACAAGTCCCGCCATTGCTCTCTTAGCCTGAAAACACAGATATAATAACTGAATGAGTATAACTACTCACTCTCCCCAACAAGAAGTAAAGCATTAACCTTTGAGTCGGATCTAGTGGCGATGGGAGAACATTCGCTGATTGCCAGTTCGTCCTCCATTAATGCCTGGAAATAAGTTAGGGATAACGAAATACGGCTGGGCTCCTCAGATCTTGAAGGGGCAAAGTGATAACTTGTGCTTAACCAGTTAACGAAGTTCGGGAGTTGGCAATTGAAGAAAATAAAGGCAAGGGTTCATCGAGTGCGGAAATGGCCAAATGGTTTTCGTGTTAGTGTTCGCCACGAATTTGCAGATAGATACTCCGTCATAGATTAGCGCCGTAGCGCGGTAAGCAAATAATGGTGATTCCTTTTATTGATTATATTATTAAAACATGCGGAGCATTACGGAGTATTATTATTAATACTCCCCATTAGACAAATTAGGACTTTACATTTAATTTAGGGAGTGTTTTCAGCTGCTTTGCTTAAAAAAATCACTTATGAAGTGATTTGGAAAAAGTAATTAGTAGTAAAATTTGATAGTATTTGATAAAAAAAGGTGATTTTGAAAAGTAAAAGTTGGTAGTGTGTGGTAAAATAAGTGTTTTTGTGTAATAAAAAGGGGAAAAGCATTTTTCACACGAAAGCCGAGAAAAGTAAAAATTGGTAGTGTTTGATAAATAAGTGTTTTTTAAGTCAAAAGCCGAAAAGTGCTTTTTTTAAGCAGTTCCAAACCAGCCTTTAGATGGCGTTTGGGATGTTTCCTTTTGGACCCTTTTCGTCCTTGATCAGAACAAATCAAATTAAATCAAACCAGACTTAGAATATTTATAAAATACAAAAAGATCAAATATTTATAAAATCGGACCTCTTTAAATCAGATCAAACCAGATAAACAAATTTTTAGTCCAAAAAAACATTTTTAGTAGGATATAAAATAATTATTTTGCGTGTGAAGTTTAAGGATGGTAAAAAAAATCGCTGTTTAGCGTGATTATTTAATGTAAACGGTAAGACAATTTTTTAAAACATTTTTCACAGGATCATGTAAAGTATTTTACGTGGAGGTGATAAATTATTTAGCAAGTTAAATAACAATAGTTCTTGACTTCTTGTAGTACACAGTCCAGTGTTGTACATAATTTTACACATGTTTTGTAATCTATTTTACATACAAAGTGAATGATTGCCTAAACTTTATGGGTGCAAAGATTTAATATGTAACTATCAAATGAGCCTTTAAATAAAAAGAGACCAATTTCATTTGAACAAACAAAAATGCCCCTCACTTCAATAAATTATCAAGCCATAATATCCTCCTTTCCTTTCTCTCGCTTCAGATTTGGCCTTGCTCACCTAGTCACCTCACAGCACCAGAACCGTCAATGCTGTTGGGATTTAACACACGCACAATACAAAAAAGAATAAGAAAACACGAGAGTTTGGTTACCCTATTCGTCAAGAATGACTACGTCTCTGGGTGCTACCAAGCAAGGATGTTACTATTATTTTCTGATGGTGATTACAATGAGAGGGCGGATATTTAAAGAGAATATAACTCCAACCCCAATAGGAAAACTCGCGAATCCATAATTTAAACTCGGCGAAATGGGCTTGGTATACAGACTACAGTCTCTACACCTTGCAGGTGCATCCAGGCCGCTAGTCATCGCCAACGCATCTCGACCCCAGCCACCGCCGATACATCCTACCTGCCCACGCCTCCTGGATTTCTCTATCGACAGCGCCCTCAGGCCACCTACATCACCATCATCGTCGCCAACCCGAGTCATCATCATCTTCACCGTCTTCGTCGTTGATCTGCATCATGTCGTTCAGTGACGACGAAGGTGAAAGGTGCATGGTGTCGATAGCTAGAAGCCGGCGACTAGCGTTTGGAAGTCACGGACTAGCTAGAGTATCTCCGTGCGAGGGAAGGGGATGGGTTCTGGGCTTCTGGCAGACTGGGAGGAGGGATCTGATGTTGGGAGGGAGCTGCAGGGGAACGGAACGTAAGCAAGGGCCGAGGAAGGGGGATGTTGGAGCGGGGAAGGGACTGAGGAGATTTGGAGAGGGCGGGATGTTGGGGAGGTGGTTGGGGACTAGGGAGGGGGAGGGGGATCGAGTCTGGGTGGTACGACGGTCGGCGGCGGTGGTTGGTGATGGTGGTCGCTGGCGGCGGTGGTGGTTGGGTACAACGATGGTGACTGCATGGGCGGACATTCATGGTCACTGGGTAGACAAACGTCGGTCATTGGTCGTTGGCCAATGGACTGACGGGCATTGTCAATGTACGGGGCACACGTTGGTCATTGGACGGGTGAAAGTTGGTCAGTGGACGGATGGACGTTGGTCATTGAATGGGCAGAAGTTGGTCACTAGACAGGCAGATAGGCACGTCACTGGACCTTTGTTGTTGTAGCGATAGTCATTGTAGTAATGCGTCAAGTGGGGAGGGTAAATGGTCCTCTTACTTCTTTTTAGACCCCGTTTGACAATACTATTTTTTGACTTATCAGGCTTATCAGCCAACTTTTTGACCAAACACGTAACTTTTGCTTTTGCGCGCTGAATTATGTAATAAGCAGAAAAAGTAAGGTTAGAGTTACTTTTCTGGCTGTATTGGCTGAAGTTACTGTAGATGATCATTTTAGCTATTTTTACATATAATTTTTTCTTTATTTTATTAATAAAATATATTTTAAAAATAATTTTTTCTTGAATTAGCAGAATCAGCCACTGCAGCCACTTCAGCCAGAACTTTATAAATTTCAGCAGAGTCAGCCAAAACAGTCGATTTTGGTGCTATCAAACGGGCTCTTGATCTCTCTTTTGAAAATTTAAGTCACTTTTTTGTCCATGAGTTGATATTTAATATTATTTGTCCGAGTCCCTTATTATTAAACCGTTTAATAATAAGGGACTCGGACAAATAATATTACTCCGTTTAATTTAAACGGAGTAATAATAATAATATAAGCAATACGGAGTATAATGTTTTAGCATTATAATATGTTTCATTAGATCGTAACTTATGTTTAGGTCTATTGTTAAATTGAGCTATAGACTGCGGACGTCTCTAGGGCTTTCCCTAGCTAGTTTTGCCGGCGGCGGCGTTTAGTCGCTCAGGTCCGGAGATTTTGACTGTGTTTTGGATCGTCTTTCTCCCACCGGTAATTTTCAGATCTCAATTCGTCTCATAGGCTTGAGGAAGAGGTGAAGGCGGGGTTGGGGTCTGGTTCTTCTTCACGGCAGGGGTTTAATTCGGCTTTGGGGAGTTCGAGAAGGAGGTTGCAGGCTGCTGCTTTTTCGTCAATTGGATGCAACGATTCGGCCACACGCAATCTGGAAGGTCTGTGGGCAAGCCGGATATGAAGGGGATGATTAGCAAGTGCCATAGCAGGTTTTTTGAAGGTGGTGAAGTAGGCCTGTTTCTGGACGAGGAGGTCACGGATGAGAAAGGGACTCCAAACAAGAGCTCACGTGTGAAGGTAGACGAAGAGGTGCTGATACATCCCCCTCCTGAACCGCCGCCATGGAGAATTTTTGCGGCTAGGACTGTGGGAACTCGATGGAGGTTTCTCGGGAGAATAAGGATGCATTTTAATTTTCATGTTGCTGTTGCGTTTGGTTTTTTTATTTTCGATCAGACTATGTTTATTTCTTTTACTGTTACTTTATTTTGTCAGACTTTTACATTAGATAGGGGTGATGAGGGTTTCACTCTGGCCACGTTTGGCTCATTTAGACCCATTACAGGACAAGCGAATCATATTGCTCTATCCAGGGTGGTTGGTTCTCCAGCTGGTCCGAGGGTTGGTGGCTGGAAGTGTTTCCTTTATCGTTTGCATCCCTTGCTGAATGTTTTATTATCAATATAAGCCCTCTAGTTCTTGCTCAAAAAAAAAAGTTTCATTAGATCAAATAAAAACGATACATACTAACAAATGTTTGAATTGCTTATATATAATTTAAGTGTTAGTATATACGTCCTAGCGACAATCATTTTTTAGAGATATATGTATTTGATCACATTCAGTTTTATATATTTGATTGTCAATGTTTTATTCATAATTGTGTTCCCTTGGACTTATGTTCTCAATAAGTAAGTGAGAGCGTAAGTAAGTGGGAGCTTATATGATACTTCCTTCGTTCTTTTTTAATTGCAACAGCTCACTTTTCACGTTTGCCAACACACAAGTTTGACCATTAATATCTTTCGTTTCTTATTAGTAAAAAAATGGAATTTAAAATGAGAAGAATTTAAGAATATTTTTAAGAAAATTAATTTATACACATACACTACGTAATACTACGTACATTAATAAATAAAACATAGTCAAAGTAGAATATGTGAATAATACAAAAAGTTCAATGCTGCAATTAAAAAAGAATGGGGGTAGTATAAACATAAGGTTTTAAAATAGCCCCAATCAATAATTATCAAGAAAGGGATATTGACGATATGCGATAAGATTGGTATGTGAACTGCATCATGCTTTTAGAAAGTAGAGTTGATCTCACAACTATGAGTTTTTGTAATTCATGATGGTTACATAGATATTTTAGAGAATATTGGCATACCCGCCGAGAAACCATTTTATAAATTCTATTCATGTGTCTATGAGATTATCAACTTAAGATCTAAGTTACTCTTCCTACCAGGTTGATCTTTTATTATGGAACCCCGGATTTTAACATTTTCTTCGGGGTACAATAAGTTTGCTTTTCAATACTTGTTAGTACTAGTTATGTTAGATATAAAATGGTACATGAATATATAAGATCTCAAGTCATTCTTCTTATAATTAAGTTTAAACTCTTACGATGAAAGTTGAAGTTCTTATATGAAGTACGAGAGTTACGTCCCTGTGTGGTATAACATTTTTGAAAACGATGATTCACTATTGTGTGTGGCACATCCTGACATCCTTAACTACATCTATATGGGAAAATACTTCATAATATTCATGCTTCCTTTTCAATGGACACTTTCATGACTCAAAGATTTACTCCGTACAAAACTAAAAATGGAAGAACTATATTTTGGTGTCCTCATACATGTATATATCATTTGCTAATGGAATCTTTGTGTGTTTTTGAACTAATACTCATACTTTCAAGCTTACCTTGTGAGAAAAAATCTATAAGAGAAATTTCTTAATTGGCCTAAGCTCACCTTGTGAGTATACTCTGAAAGGTTTTTAATTAGTGGAAGATGGTCAAAGATGGTGGCACGACAAAAAGTGAATCAAAGTTTGCCAAGAAGTACCACGCTTTATGCTGAAGTAGTTCAACAAATTTCTGGGGGATCAAACAACACTAGCAACAACTTTTGACCTATAGCACGCCAACTATTCATGCGTACTATACAATGTTGTGAAGAAATTTTTAATACGTTGTAATACGTGACATAAATTATTCAAATTATTACAAGGAAAGTGAAGATTGTGTGCATTATTAGCACCGCATATTTGTTACTTGCCTTATTATTTTATTTCCTTTTGAAGCCATGTCCGTATGTAATATATATGGCGTTTGATCGCCTCCAGTATGCATCAATATACACGAAGCTTTTCTCTCTTTATTTCACAACTATTATAATTTCAAATATACTATTTTATTATGGTATCAAGAGCCGAAGTCCTGGCGTTTTTGTTCAACTTAACATAGTTCTTCTGCCATACTCGAGCATCATCACGAGATGGCTGTCCGTGATGAGGGCAGGAGCAATGGGGACACAATAACCATTGACTCCATGTCCCCCTATTTTATTCAATCTGGTGATAAACCCAGCGATATTTTTGTTACTTCTCTTTTGCGTGATGGCAATTATGGAGACTAGCTTGATGAAATGAGCAACGCTCTATATGCCAAAAATAAATTTGGATTCATTAATGGAGATATTCCCATGCCGGAAAAGGACTCTCCTTATTTGTCGTACTGGCAGCGAGCCAATGCCATGGTGAAGGCATGGCTAAATAGTAGCATGGAACTTGAATTACGGCAAAGTGTAAAGTTCAAGACGGCTCGAGAGATATGGGTTGATCAAGAAGAACGATTTGGCAAGGAAAGTGCCCCCGGGCATATGAGTTACGGTGTTCGCTTGGGGCTGTTCGGCAAGATGGAGAAACCACCAGGAGGACAGGTGGAGAAAACATGGCTTATCAAGCCCATGTTAAGCCTAACCCGGAAAAGGGGTCTGGCGGAAAATTGTATACCCACTGCGGTAGGACCAATCACAACAATGATACATGCTTTGAATTAATAGGTTATCCAGCTAACTGGAATGTTCGTCCAAAAGAAAAACAATCTGGAGGGAGACCTATTAACAGATCTATGAGAAGCAATGACCGTAGCAGGAGAAGTGGGCCACCTAAGGTGGCACATGTTGACACCCATGCAGATGTCGTATCCCTCTTATCCCACGAGCAACTGCAACGCCTGGCAGAGTTTATGCGGACCGAGTTCAACATGCAAAGGCTGGCTGGAATCAATTCTTCTAATATGTAGGTTAATATGGCAGGTAAAATGCAGTGGATAATTGATTCGGGAGCATCGGAGCATATTACTTGCAACCAGAACTTATTGACCGACATCATGGACAACCCGTCTGAATCTCCTGTTCGGATACCAAATGGTGATGTGGTGCCCGTTCATTCCATTGACACTGTGTGTTTGCCAAATGGATTGAAATTATCTCAAGTTTTATTCATACCCACTTTTCAGTGCAATTTATTATCTGTTAGTCGTTTAACTCAGGAACATAATTGCAAACTCACATTTATTGGGGATTTTTTTGTGATCCAGGACTTACTCTTGAGGAAGCTGATTGGAGTGGGTAGGTGTCGAGGTGGTTTGTATTATTTGGAGGACCTCAACAGCGAGCGGGTGGCAATGGCGGTTTCTTCACAGCTTGACATTTGGCATCGACGTTTGGGGCACGCTTCAAATGATAAACTCCGCCATATTAATTTTTAAAGGATATTAAGAAAGATGTTTCCTTTTGCGATTCTTGTGTACGAGCTAAGCAGACTCGACTCCCTTTTCCTAACAGCTTTATTAAGACACAACAAAGTTTTGATTTGATCCATTGTGATATTTGGGGGGTATAAATGTACCTCTCTTACATGTGCACATTATTTTCTCACCATTGTTGATGATTTTACACGCAACGTTTGGGTATACCTTATGAATGCTAAGTCTAATGTGGGACAATTTTTAATCCATTTTTGTAACATGGTTAGAACTCAGTTTTCTCGCTCTGTTAAACGTATTCGGACTGAGAATGGTAGAGAGTACCAATCTCATGCCTTACTTGATTATTATTAAACAAATGGCAATATTCTGGAAACTTCTTGCACGGATACCCCACAACAAAATAGGGTTGTTGAGCGCAAGCATCAACACATTTTGGAGGTGGCCAGGGCTTTGCGTTTTCAATCATGAGTACCTGTTGAATTCTGGGGGGAATGCATTCTTACAACCGTCTTTATCATCAATAGGCTTCCAACATCAGTAATTTCAAATAAAACCCCTTTTGAGATGCTTTTTCAGAAGGAACCCGATTACAATCCTCTCCATGTTTTTGGGTGCCTTGTCTACGCTCATGATAACAAAAGAAAGGATAAATTCGGTGAAAGGGGCAGCCCATGCATTTTCATTGGCTATCCAAATGGACAGAAGGCTTACAAAGTATTTGATCTCAAGACACAAAAGTTTTTTAGTTCCAGGGATGTCACGTTTTTTGAAGACATTTTTCCCTTCAAAACCACTTTACCCATGGAGGAACAATCTTTTGAAACAACAATTAGAATGGCACTGGATCGGATTTTAACTGACTCACACTCCTCGATCAGCCCCACGTCCAGTTATAAAAGGCATGACCTCTACTCCGTATAGCAGCCATTCTCCAGATAATTCAGTCGAGACTCCCTCCACGCACAATGGGCCCTCACAAAATGGTCAACTTGACACTTCGGCGCCCTCAAAGCCAGTAATGCAATTTGATGAGTCTCAACATGATGGTGGTACTCGGAAAAGTGGACGCGTGCGTCGGACACTAGTGCACCTAGAAAATTTTGATGTTGATTTGCCACCCTCGCTCGATCACTCGACACCCACCTCCAATGCGGCGACCTCGACGGTTTATCCTCTCACACACTTTCTCTCTTATAATAAATTTTCACCGACTCACCGTACTTTTTTGGCGGCCATCACTGCCCATGATGAGCCCAAATATTTTTCCCAAGCAATCCAGGATCCACTATGGCGGGAGACCATGAAAAAAGAAATTCAAGCTCTTGAAGCGAATGGAACATGGACTTTAGTGCCTTTACCTCCAGGCAAGAAGCTTGTTGAATCAAAATGGGTTTACAAAATCAAGTACAAGCCCAATGGAGACATTGAATGTTACAACGCGTGCCTCGTTGCCAAGGGGTTTACGCAGATTGAAGAGGTATATTTTCATGAGACTTTTGAACCTGTTGCTATGTTTGTTACTGTACGATGCCTTCTAGCAGTTGCTGCTAAACGTGCTTGGGCGGTCCATCAACTTGACGTCAACAACGCCTTCCTGCATGGAGACTTACATGAGGATGTATACATGCGTATCCCCTAAGGTTTTGCCCAATCAGGTGACACTAGGGTATGCAAGCTTCAAAAATCCTTGTACGGGCTTCGACAAGCTTCTAGAAATTGGTATGAAAAATTCACTACAGCGTTGACACGCATTGGCTTTCGGCATTCTCGTGCCGATGACTCCCTTTTTATCTACCATAAAGGGAGTACTTATACAACTGCCTTGATATATGTGGACGATGTGCTACTTGCTGGGAATAATATAACACACATATCCCATGTCAAGAATTTTCTTAATCAACAATTTACCATAAAAGACTTGGCCCGCTCAAGTACTTCCTTGGGATAGAAGTTGCCCGATCCCCGAGTGGGATTGTGCTTAGCCAAAGAAAATACATTTTGGACATGTTGCAAGAAAGCGGCATGTTGGCTAGTCGTCCCAGCCACACTCCCATGGAGCAAAACTTAAAACTACGCCCAGATGATTCCAGTAATCCTGTTGATGCTGTGATGTATCGGCGACTCATTGGGCGCTTGTTATATCTTACTGTCACACGCCCAGATATCGTCTTCCCTGTGAATCATCTGAGCCAATTTGTCTCTCATCCACGTCAAGCACATCTTGATGCGGCCTATTGCGTGATCCGCTACCTTAAAGCTACACCAGGAATGGGAATTTTTCTCTCATCCCAACCCGGCTTTTCTTTGGAAGGATTTTGTTATGTTGACTGGGAAGGCTGTTCATTCACTCGACGCTCTACTTCAGGCTACTTCTTAACACTGGGAGGATCGCCCATATCATGGCACACACAAAAACAAACGGCCGTGTCCCGGTCCTCCGCCGAAGCTGAGTACAGCTCCATGGTTGTTGCTGTTAGTGAAATAATATGGTTACGTTGGTTACTTCGTGACTTTGGGATAACATCAAATAGTCCCACACCATTATTTTGTGACAATCAAGCTGCCCGTCATATAGCAACCAATCCGGTGTACCATGAACGCACCAAACACGTTGAAATGGACTGCTATTTTGTGCGTGAGCGTGTTGCCAGTAATGACATTCTACCGCGATCTATTCACACTCACCAGCAAGTAGCAGACATCTTTACCAAAGCTCTTGGGAGTGATCAGTTTCAACATCTTCGATCCAAGCTGAGTGTTCGGGACCTACACACTCCAGATTGAGGGGGAGTAATACGTGACATACATTATTCAAATTATTACAAGGAAAGTGAAGATTGCGTGCATTATTAACATCGCATATTTGTTACTTGCCTTATTATTTTATTTCCTTTTGAAGCCATGTTCGTATGTAATATATATGGCGTTTGATCGCCTCCAGTATGCATCAATATACACGAAGCGTTTCTCTCTTTAATTCACAATTATTATAATTTTCAATATACTATTTTATTAATTTTGGCTAGATATAGAACGCACGATAAAGTTTAGCATTTTTCTCACTCACATGTATGGTTACCTTATAGTGTGGACTGTGGAGATATATTGTATACTTGCTCATCCCATTGAATTTTACCAACTTTTCCTTTTTGGTTGTCCCAAAAAAACTTAGTCATTTTTCTATTAAAGTAAATATTTTGTGGTTTGCTCATTTATCTCTCCTCTGCACAAATTTCAATTAGATACTTTTTACTATTCTTATTTCTCACCTAATTCAAAGAGTGCAAAGTCTATTGGGACGGAGGTTGATGAGTTTACTATTCTTATTTCTCACCTAATTCAAAGAGTGCAAAGTCCATTGGGACGGAGGTTGATGAGGTAGTATACGATAGTTGTTCACCTTATAATGTGAATTATTTTTCTCACTCAATAAATATAGAATTATAGAAAGGTGTGTGAAAGGCAACATATATATTCTTATTAGTGTTGACATAAATACCATGGACGCTTAGATTTGTCCTAATCTGTTTTGGATAAACACTTTTGTAGTTGGGGTACCACATACGGAATATTACCTTGAGAAAAAAGGGCTTAAATGGAGTAGGTTTCCTACTTATGAAGAGATGTGCAAGGTCAATTTTGCATAGTTGCATGCATGGTTTATAAGGGTTTTCTCTTTTTTCAATAAATACAAATTGAAACAATTATCAAAAGAGGAGTAAAACATAGGAGTTGTGCAAAAATAGGAGTAGAGTTTTTAAATTTTCAAAATAGGAGTATTTTTTTATAAATGGACAAGGATGTCGCTGCCTGCTGCTACAGTACCGCGGCCGCCGGAGTTCGCCGGACTGCCGCCGGTCGCCAGAGCTCCGGCGAGGTAAAAAAATCATATTTTCCCCCATTCTTCCTGCCACTGTCAGAGTCGCCAGAGCTCCGCCACCACCTGCCGCCACCACCACCGGACTGCCCCGCTACCAACGCCTTGCCCCGCCACCGACGGACTGCCCTGGCTGCCCAAGGGAACTAGGGGAGAAATAATTAATTAGAATAGGGGTTTCCGCCGGTCGCCGGAGCTTTGCCGCCATCTGCCACCGCCGCCACCAGACTGCCACCGCTACCAACGCCTTGCCCCGCCACCGACGGCCTGCCCTTGTTGCCCAATTAATTAATTAGAATTTGGGTGTTAGGGGTAAAAAAATAATGTTTACTCCTATTTGAGAAAGGTTAGGAAGAATGTGTTATGTTTTACTCCTATTGGGAGCAATCACTTATATAAATTACTTTTTCCAAAAGTGCCCCTCAACCTCTGTAATATAAGAGTCTTTAAGATATTGCTGAACCTCATTGACTAAGCACACATTCTTTGAAAACTATTGTTCTTCTTTTAAAAGCATGAAGTACACGTTTAGAGACGGGGTTTTAAAGGTCAAGGGTGCTTTCAATTCGAAACACAAATGTCAAAAATATATTTTTCATTTTTAGAAAGATTGTTTTATATTCAAAAAAAGAAGTTCATTGCCTCTTTGGTTTATTTATTTTTTAAAACACACAGAGCATTATGCAAAACAATTTCGTAGAGAATATAAGAATGTAATTGGAAATTGGAATTGGTTTTGAATCATACGTTGGGCATCAGCCGTACGAAGTTATGTGAAAGAGATTTATTTGTAGGAATCAAAATTTCCCGGTTTAATGCATCAAACCCTCTCGTGAAATATAAATTAAGTGTATTAGCCCTCTGTGATTTAAAAAATGCGTCAAACCCCATGTTTTATAATTAATCTTGCGCCAAACCCCTCTTCAAGAACAAATTTTATAATTTTGAAATCATATTTATAAATAATATGTTTGAATATGCAAGTAAGTTTGTCAAAGTTTATGAATTACACAAAAAACTAATCATTTTTTCGTTTTCTTGGAAATTAAATTTGTTCTTGAAGGGATTTTGCGTATGTTTAATTATAACACAAGGGTATTTGACGCATTTTTTAAATTACAAGGGGTTAATGTGCCGAATTTATATTTCACGAGGGGGTTTGGTGCATTAAACTAAGAGTTATATTAATTAACATTCATGAGTCTAAACATCATAAAAGATCAACTAAATGATTACATAAAATGATGAGAAACTATTAAATAAATTAAAAGAAACAAATGTAAATCATCTTCTAATTATGTAAACTTCTACAAGATCAAATCAGATCTAAGCATATAGATTTAT